GCTTATTCTGCAAACAATAGTTGTCTGCCATGTCGATACTAAATTGACATATTGAGTCATTAACCCAGAATGAGCATGCAAAGGAGGTGATTTGACTTTTATTATCAGTGACTGAGGACACTACAATATTTAGACTGATAGCATTTTCAAGGAAGTCAGAAATGGTAGCCTCCATGTTTCTCTCACCTAGGTTTTAGGGCAAGGACTTATTTTAGGTGAAAGTCAATGGCAGCACAGGCATGCTCTCCGGGCGCAGTGCGATCGGCTGCACCGGAATGCGTGGCACATCAATGCTGGTGTTTTTTCTGACTGGACCGTGGGCATTGATGTGCCACACGTTACGGTGCGGCCCATCACACTGCAGCCGGAGGGTGTGGCTGTAGCTGTGCCATTGACTAAAATGCACTGCCACGGCCCCTCCCGCCCCAAAATAAAGTGAGCCATCCAAAATGCGATCCAGTCAAAAATCGGGCCAGAACGCACTGAGGCTGGTGTGAACTAGCCCTTCGTCCAGGGTTAGCCAAACTCCAGCCCTCCAGCTGTGGGGGAAACTACAAATCCCATGAGGCATTGTAAGATTCTCACAGCCACGACTCCCAGAGAGAGAGATGCATCATGGGAGTCTCACCACAGCTGGAGGGCTGGAGTTTGGCTACCCCTGCCTTAGTCATTCAAAATGTCCCCTCACTTCCTGCTTTGGTGACCTGGAACAGAAAGTGAGGAGAAACCCTGAAAGGGTTAAGAACACCTTTTGATATAGTACAGTTGGGAAGGGCTACACACTCTGCCCCTCCTCCACCCCCCCTCTATACTTGACCCTGTGGGGAGAATTCCCTTCACTTCCCTCCTAGTTAATCACAACAACCTGGGACAGAGTTACAAAAGGAACACATAGCAACAAAAACCTGAGAGTGTTACTCACCTTTTGCCACTAAAAATATAACGTTTTTAGTTGACTTCTACATAAGTGTATCTAAAGTAAAATCTTTTTTTTCCCCAGAAGGTTAACCCTTTGTTTGTCCGGGTGATCACTGTTACAGTAAATATAGTGAGGTTAAATCCAAATCAGAAAAGGAAGAGAGGGGAAATCTTTCTATGGTGACCCCTGTCTAAGAAGAGGTTTCCTCTCACTTCTTATATCTATGGGCCAGAAAGTTAGGCAAGTGTTCCCATTAGACACAAAAGACAAAACAGACAGGGGAGTTTTACCATTTATAGTAAAAAAAAAAAAAAAAAACTGGGACCATAATGGACACTCTGTATCCAGGTGGTAGAACACTATTGGGAGGCAGCATTTAAAAGGAAAGTTTTGGGAGAGCAAAATATGCTCTTCCCTAATACACAGGAGCTGTCTCTATACACACACAGAGAGCTGATCCCGTGACTGCTGGATGATCAGCTCTCTTCTCCCTGCAGAGAGCAGTGACTGCCGGTCACCACCCTCCCCATTACTCCAGCCCTCACTGGGGGGGACAGGCAGGGGAGGGGGCGGGCACAGCTGGCTCTAGAGAGGCAGAACCAGATGTCAATCAGGCAGCATGGTGGTTCCCCCTCAATACTGTTGGGATCCTTCCGGGCTTTGCACTTTGGGTCACAGGAATGCATTAGTGAATACGGTGACCCAAAAGAAAAATTAAAACAAAAAAAGGTTTGGCTTTAGTCCTCTTAAGAAAACACCTCATGATGCAGGAATGGGTAGTGTAGCATGCATGCTGCGCTTTCCATTATGACGATTGTATAGGGATTGCACTGCAGGCTGTGTGACTCAATTGTGTCTTCCTGAAGTTCCCCTAACACACTTAAAATATCCCGACACCAAATGTGTTCGTGCAGCAACACTGATATAATACAATGATTATTGGCTCAAATAAATATCATAATTATATATAAACAAACACCAGAGTGATTCAATAAATATAGAACACCAAAAAGTGTATAACACGTACACAATCTCTTAACCACTTCCTGGCCGGAGCAATTTCTTACTATTTGCACACATGATGAAATCTGAATTTCTAGCTAGAAAACAGCTTCAGACCCCCAAACAATGAGATATTTTCTGAAAGGGGGGGGGAATAAAATGCTAGTATCACATGTTTTTTCATGTCGCACGGCAAATGTTTATCAAACCGGTATTTGTAGGATAAAATACACTAAAATGAAATTTAGTGCACAGAAACAGAATATAATACCCCATTTTTTGGTCACATCAGATAAATCAATACATTGCATGCGCCCGTGAAACCGCAAAAAATCTACAATTACCAAAATCTCCCATAGGCGATGCTTTTAGAGCTTTAAGGCTGGGTTCACACCTCAGTGTATTGGAAACTCGCGTTTGCCGCACGTTTCTTACCGCGATTTGCGGCAAAAGAAACGTGCATCAAACACGAGTTTCCGATGGATACAGCGGGATACGCGCGTCAATACGCCCCAAAGAAGCTCATGTACTTCTTTGGGCATATGGCGTTTTACCGCGCGATCGAACCTGCGGTAAAACACGCAGGTGAGAACCATGCCCATAGGCAAACATGGGTTTTCACCTGTTGCTCGTTTTACCGCGCGGTAAAACACGTGGTAAAACGCTCAGGTGTGAACTGGGCCTAACTGCTCATCAGTTTAGTGTTACCAGTGATTGATGGCACTAGAATTATTGCTCTCACCTGACGCGCCTTTGCAGTGTATGGGCATGCATGTGGGAGGCAGGGGACTTTAGACTTTTTTTTTTTTTTGCATTAATAATTTTTTGCTTGCACATAAACAGCAATCGCCTGCTGTTCAACCCTATACCATGAACACGCTGCAGCAGCCGCCATGTTCTTTGTATAGCCACCTCAAGCGGATGGCAGGTATTTACGTGAACCTGCATGAAGTGGTTATATACTCATAAAATGTCCGCCCAAGAAACAAATAGTGCTCAAATTAATGAAATGTGCAATCATACAAGTGCCCAACTAATAAATGACAACTGGTGTCTCTAAGTGCTGAACTCGTGCAGAAGGATCATAAATCCGCCCACTAAATTGCATTCACCTAAGTATCATATGCTCAGGAAGTGTCTTCACCCGTGCACAACGAAGATAGCAGCCTCTCACCTTCTGAATGGCCCTCCCGAGATGGTCACAAAAACCTTTTCCCTATTTATGTCCAGGAGGGGATATCCTGCCCTTAAGGGTCTGAACACCCAGTACTGACACGATCCGAATTCTCAATATGTAACAAGACACAGAGTACAAGATGCGGCTTCCACACTCCCGGGCACTATGAGCTTTGTGGACGTGCGCGGGAGTGTGG